AAGGAGTAACTAGAGAAAGAAACTTAACTATAAAAATCAGAGGTATGTTACAGCTTTTTTAAATTATCTGAATTGAAAGTTTAAAAAATTAAGAATATAGATAATAGTCTGTACAATATATACTGATATTTGAGTAAACTCTACAAGAGCAGAAGTAGATAATAATAGCTGCTTTAGTTCACAAGTACTTGTCTTCAGACTTGGTATAAGTTACCAAAATCTAGATTAGCCAGACTGTGAGTATAGAAAGCTCTAGTAACAATGCATCAAAGATAAAATAGTCTTAAGAATATAGAAATAGTATCTAGAACTTTTTGACTAACAAATATAGTGGTGATATATCAATGATACAAATAACAATTTGCATTACAGAGAGTTTAAATAAACAACCTCAAGTTAAATTGTAGGTATAATAGCTAATATAGAACCTATGATGTAATAGCAATATATAAACTACTTAAATAGGCAACCAAAAGTTGCATATATAGCTAGCTGTACTCTCTAATATAAAAGATGACTCTATTGTGAGCCACTCTATTCAAGCTTGAATAAAAACCTTAACTCTAAAGAGACTAGTTAAAAAAAAATTTTTAACATTAATTTTTTCACATTAAAGTTGAAATAATACAATATAGATAGTAAAACACCATAGATGTGTTTAATAAAAGTGTTATAATAAATATGATTAGCCAATTATTATGTGTTATATAATAACCAATTATTTAATTTTATGTGATTGATGATTCTAGATTTTTTATTGGGCAGATTAATCCTCAAGGGAAAAAGTTCGTCTGATTAGCTGATATAAATCAATTGCCTGGGTAATTTATTTATATATTTTAAAGTACTTTTTTGTAACACAATAGTTTACTAACAAAAAATTGTGCAAAAACTATTTATAACTTTAGAATAGTGCCAATATTCCCCGTTTAAAAGAATCTAAAAAAGATCTTACCCCCATTGACTTTGTTTAGAAGACAAAATACACTAACCGCTTATCGGAGAATCTCAAATTATATTGAAAATGAAAATAAGTGGAACCGTTTTTGTTCAAGACTGCCTTATTATGTTAGATTTTAAAAAAAACTTTTATACTAACTATTGAATTTAAACAAGGATAGGTTTATTGTAAAAGAAGTTCCGGGTTTAATACTTGAATATGCTTGGTTCTTGCGTTTTGCTTTAATCAATTAGCCGTAATAAGTTTTGGTTTACGGAATGTAGATTGTATGAACTTGGGTTTATTAATAATAAATACAGTCTTTACTTCACTTTACGTGATATCGATCTATCTTCTTATATTTGAAATCAATTAATTCTTTTGTATATTTATTAATTTATAAACTTTATACGAAGTTTCATTTGTTTTCTAGTAGTATTTTAATGACGAATCCTTTAAAATTATGTAATTTGATTGGTTAATTATCACGGGTGATTATGGGTAGATCTATAAAATTAGCCAATCAGACGAACTTCTTCCTTTAAGATTAATCTTAAGTCAAAATTTCAAATTTGGAAAGTTTGTGCTATGAGGATTGACTAACATACCTTACAGCTCTGCATAGCACTTCCACTCTTTTATAAGAAATCTAAAATTAATTAAATAATATCCCCAAGGGTACTGTGTGAAGAGGGGATACTATATAGGGGGTATACTAAAAAGAGGTATATGATCATTGGTTGGATCATGAAAGTAATAAATTACTACTTGATTAGTACTGGGATAACTTCAAAAATGTTAAAATCTACAATTGAATAGTACCCCGATATTATTTAAAGAGGATACTTTTCCAAGGGGGGGTACTATATACAACACTGTACGGTTCTCACTTTTAGTTAGTGTTCCAATAACTCGGTTTCTTGTATTTTTGCTTTTTTTCGTTTTTTTTTTGTTTTCTTCGCTTTGCTCACGTGTCGGGCTGATCCGGGATAACCACATATTATGTTCTTCGATTGATATCGCGCTTAGTTTTCAAGCCATGAGGTTTTTATCGGCTGGCTTAGCCAGCCGGCAAAAAAATCGGCAAAGCGGCTGGCTAATAACTAAAGCCAAATTTTTTATCTTCAGAAATTATTGGATATTGACTTAAAATTTTTTTTCATTCTTGCTCGTATTTTATGTTCGATCATTTTCTTTTTGGAATCTATTACTTAATTCTGCCCGGCATTATCATTTCGGCCTAAATTATACTATTACAGCTGTTCTCATAAATTCTGGAAAATTTGGCAAAAGTTGACCGACCGAATATTTGCCGATTCGATAAGCTTTGATTTAGCAGTGATAAACTTTTGATTCGGATGTAATTACATCCGAATCAAAAGTTTATCACTGCTAAAACGAATCGGCAAATATTCGGTCGGTCAACTTTTGCCAAATTTTCCAGAATTTATGAGAACGGCTGTAAAGTCTTGTGATCTTAAGCTGCATTAGCCAGCCGATACATTTTTATCAGCTGGCTTAGCCGGCTAAGCTGCCTTAGCCACGGCTGCTTTAGCCGGCTTGAAACACTAATCGCGCTTTAGACAACACCTTTTTTGGTTTGTATTACTCGCGAAAATAAGTAAACCCGTGTTCACTGCACTGGTGATGCATGTGTGTCTAAAATTTAAACGATCACGAAAAATCAAAATAAAAACAAGCTCAGTTTTATACAATAACCACCGTCATAGCCTAATAATGATACCAAGGTTTAAAAAAAAACGAAGATGAACGAAAAAATAAAAGAATTGAAATAAGTATATTTTCTAGCAATCAAACCCTTTTCTGTAGGTTGCTCTTGTGAGGCACCTAAGCTATTTGAAAAAGTAGTGAAGGGCTGGGGTTCGTCTTATTTGCCATGTGATTCGATCCTTCCACAAGAAATATACAATCTTTCTTTTAGGTTGTCTTGTGAGACACTCTGAGCTGTTTATTTCGAACTGTAGTGCAAGGGTGCTGGGGTTCGTCTTGCTATGGGAGTGATTCGTTCCTTCCACAGGAAACATAAAACCAACATAAGAATGCTGCTTTAAATAAAGTTTACTGCTTCTAGGTGAGGAATCGGTTACGTTCTTTCTTGATTTAAAGCATATACTTATGAAAATATTACTACTTAATAAACGCTCTTTATTAATCAAAATTATCAATTACGTATTTTTAAGAGAATGTTTTATCACCATCTTCCACAAAGAAGTGTATTGTTTCTAAAAATAGTAAGGTTTTAGCCAAATCAGTAACCAGTAATAGAAAGATTAGAAAAATTGTGAAATTTTTGTGAGTTCTAGAAATTCAAAGGGATACGAAAGACGAGTACAAAAATGCAATCAACGCTGTAAAATCTGTACGAAAATTCAATAGCAATGTATACTATAAGTGAGTGTCTGAAATTTGTAACGTATATCATCACGCAAAGTGTAGTCAATAAAAAACTGCTACTATATAGATGCATTAATTGTAAAATTTAGCATAGCTGTTATCTATACCATAGCATGTAGAATACAGTTATTAATAGTTATTTATTTGTATTTAAAATTTCTTGTTTTTCAGAGCATTCATGAAAAAAACGATTTTACTTACTGAATTTTTTTTTTGATATTGATATAGTTTTATTTACTGAATATGATCAACTATTAACAAAATTTACTAGATCCTCCTCCACCATATGAAAGATATGCCAACAGTAATGAAAATGTAATTTACAATAGAAAGAGTATCTAATAATAATGATGAAAATATGGACTTTAGTAATGAAAATGTAGCTAGCAGCAATGAAAATAGGCATTCGTAATTCAAGAAATATTCAACTATATATATTGTTTTATAGTTATTAACTATGTTTTGATAGTTTAAGAGTATAGTCTGGAGTCTCTATCTGAAATCGCACAAGTTTAGTTATTGGTTTGCTAAATTTTAATCAATTATTTATGTATCAATTAATGTAACTTATTATTATAGACGAACAATGACTTATGATTCAAAATTGATGCTTATTAAAATATGAAATTATATACCAAAAGATAAAGATCAATACATGAACAATTTAATTTGTATAATTTGCAAATTTGCAACAGAGGCTAAAAACGACATATAGTAAACAGTGGCAATTTACCATACATATTGTTTAAAGTATCTTTCTTGACATCAAAAATTATGAATTATAATATTTAATTATCTTAACAATTGTTTAATATAATATAATACTTATGGATGACCAGTATTAGGAAGCTGACACTTATTACATAAATATAACCCCTCCGAGTCAGTCATTTGACACAATTACAAGTTCTAAAATAATCAATCGGTTGACAATTGCAAGCTTTAAAATAACCAATAATATAAAGTTTACACTTTGATTACTTTAGAACTTGTAATTGTCAAATAGCTGACTCTGGAGGGGGTTATATTTGCATAATCAGTGTCAGCTCCCATATGCATAACAATAATTACACTTGTTGGCTAACTATAAATTCCAAATACTGTATAATAAAATTGTCAAATTTAATCGCAAATATAATAAAATTTGTTTTCAAGTCCCAATAGTTTTACCATAACAACCGGAATTAGCGCTATAGTTAAGGTTAGAGGGCTTATATGTATGCACAACAATAGCTTTCGCCTTTGATCATGGTAGCAAATCTTACATGTTTGATACTCCTGCACTTACATTTTTGATACCCTAAACATACCCTAAAACTAACCAATAGGATTGCATATTATAATAAAAGTCAAAGGCATAGGGCATGTTCAGGTGTATCAAAAAAGTAAGTGCAGGAGCATCAAAACGTAAGTTTTTTTGCAGTAGCGATACGAACACGAATGATATCAGTCACAATCTGAAAATTTCTTGGATGCCGATTTAATCTCATCAAGATCTTTATCAGATTTAACATAGTATAATACGACCTTACCATTCTGTCTTTCCAAATCCCATACACTTTAAGCTGAGATGAACAAGTCTGATATTTAGTATAATTATATATCCTAAATAAACAATTCATGTTGACAATGAACCGAACCAAGTTTATTCTAATGTTTCTATAAATTTCGATGGTCGCTTTTTACCGGTCGCGTCCAAGTAATGGTCCACCTTAGGTGGTTTGCCATATATTGGCTCATGGATACCTTTAACAATAATTTGAAGTGTTAAGAAGGTTACTAAAATTGATGCTATTGTGTTTAGGAGAATTATTAAATATTTACCTAATCGATCTCTATAAATTGAACTAACATCCTTATCCCATACTTCGCGAAAAAATGTAGCACCACTTAATATCAAATTATATTTATTTGCGAACTCGCGAACGTTTGTTATTAGATCCGCTTTGGTAACTTCGATTTTACCAACAGACTGTTCAAAAGCACCTAAGGTGTATCTATGATATTTAGTGCCTTTAGGTGGATGTGGTGGCACGTACTGCAAGATTTCTGTTCCACCAGAGATATCAGTTTTTGTAGCACTTATAGGAATATTTGTTCTAATAAATACACTGTTAATATGTGTATTCATTGATATCATAAATAATATAAAGTAGCGTAGTTTGTGTTGCCTACATTAACCAATGCCATTGCGTTTTAAAATTTTTATTTTCTACATCAGGCATGTCTAAAATAATCAAATAATACCAAGTTGAATGTATTTTGTCACACAACTACACAACACCATAGTATCTTACCCACCTGGATCCACCATAATGAGAGTGTACAAGCGCGTTTCTACATGAAAATTGTTCATAATAATTGTAGGAGGGTTTATTGTCTTTAAGTAAATACTTGAATCATTAAGTGTTTCTGGTTTAAAAGAACCAAATTATCAATAGGATAGCGTACTCTCATAGGCCGTTGAAAACATCCAGGTTCAACCAATTCATCATCAAATTTGAATTCAAGGTTCATTGTGGGCACCAAGTCCGGAAATACATCAGGCACAACATACATTTGCGTTATACGTTCCATCTAACATTAAATGTGTTAAATATGTTAATTTGAAATAAGAAATCGAACATGATGGTAATAGATGATACCAATTTTGGAAGAGGACCAGATTTCCAATGCTTTTCTTTTAAATGACGATAAACAGGTATAGACATATCGACTATTATAAACATAAATATAAATAAATCAAATAATTTCGCATTCTCTCTCTCATAATAATGAATGATAATTGAATAATAATTACCCATATCATTTTTAAACTTCCGTCGAACCTCTGGATCGTTTACTTCAGCTTGAACTTGTAAATCATATTTTTCCTTGTAAAGTGCGTCCAATTGTTTAATGATTTCATCGTTTTGTTCCATTGCTAAATATAATTCGCGAAAAGAAAGAAATTGTAAGTCTGAATTTTTTAAAAAAATATAAATATAAATATAATATAATTACGAAAGAACCTTCAGAAAGTTTTGATATTTGTTTGTCGATTTGTTTTATCTGTTGATATTTATTTGCTTTATCTTGAGATATATATTTAAACGCTTCATCATAAGCCGGATTATAGTTGTTAGGCGAAGCCATTTTACGTAAATGGCGAAAAGTGAAACCTAAACTCAGCGAAAGACGAAAGACGAAACCCCCTGGTGAAACGGCAAAACCCCGGCGAAAGGCGAAACCTCTGGCGAGAGGCGAAATTCTTGACGAAAGTCGAATCATCGAAGACTTTAGAAAAGCTGAACTATCTTATCAGTCAGAAGACATGTCACATCTGTTTATGAGTGTGATTATAAAAAGGGTTCTACTGTGATGTGATTATATAAAAGGTGACTATATAGAAGGACTGATTTTTAACACAACTAGTGGTTTTGTGGATTTTACAACAGGAGGAACCGTCAATGTTACACAACTGATTTTACACACGGTGTGAAACATATAAAAAAATTATTTTACAATACTTGATCAGTCCACTACAATAGTATCGGTACATGTTATGATTATAATCCAACACCATTTTTACTATATAAAAATGTTGTTGGATTATAATAACATGTACTAGCGGACTGATCAAGTATTGCAAAATAATTTTTTTGTGTTTCACACTGTGTGTAAAATCAGTTGTGTAACATCAACGGTTCCTCCTGTTGGATTTTACTAATTTTCTCCCAAATTTCAATTTACATATCACCTTTCTTTTATAATGTGATATCTTAGTTGGGATTAGTGTTAGAGTTAGTGGGCAGCATTATACCAAAATTTTGCAAGGAATTTTTTTTGTTAATACGCAAAAGGTGCGAATTTTGAGATTAATGTAACTTTTCAGAAAAGAGCGATTGTTTTTTTAATTTTCACAGGATCAAATCATGTTATTAAGGATCATCGATTTCGTCCAATCAAAAATGTAATTTACCGATGACCTTGGGGATGAAATTAAACTACTCCAGTATTGCCGTCAAATTTTTACTTTTACATGATGATCATTTAATGACAAGTCTCGCTTTAATGTAACATTACACAATTAGAAAAATCAAAACAAAGCGCTCGTTTTTTCAAAAATCGCTTATTCCTCAAAAACTAATATAAGAAACCACCTTTTGTGCTCTAACAAAAAAAATTCCTTGTGCAATTTTACTATATTTTTGCTAATACTCAGCTTTATTGTTGAGGCCAACCCTAATCTAAACAAACTTGAAGATTTTTTAAACTTGTTACGTTATAATATAACAAGTTAGACCTTTGGTTAACAAGCTACAATACTTGACTAAGTGTACAAGTAGTTAAGAAATGTGTTGATAAGATAAAATATTGTCGACTTATTGCTATGACGATACTCACAAAGAAAAGGTTATAACCAACAAAGTTTATAGATAAAAGATAGATTTATTAACTCAGATAATACTCAAAAG